CACCTCATCTTCACCAAAGTCTCGACCCACAAGGGAACATCTCTGCTGGAAGACATCAATTTGAAGCACCTGAATGTTCCAGCTGCGAATGTCACAGTAATTCTAGCATCATCAATGGAAGGAAAAAACAAAAAACACCATCAAACAAAACACGCGCATATGAAAATGGCCTGTCCAGCAGAATGTGGAGGGCATAAAATGGTGTTCACAAGACTCATTGCTCCAGTCCACCACCTTGGGAGCAAGGCAGCGACTGACTCGCAAAACTGTTTCCTCACTGAGCTATCTGAGCTCCAACTTCCCCCTTCTCTTGCCGTAGTCGGGCCCTGAGCAGAGCTATACATCACACACACTACTGGCACTTCCCCATAATCAACTCCTCTGCATCTGAGATGGACACCTATAAAGCTGATGGCTCCGGTGGAGAGGTCTATTCTCAGAACATGACTGGCCTCAAGATTCTGGCATGTTTCTTGCCTCTCAGCGCACTGCCACCAGCTTAAGCATGGCACAGAATGCGGAGGGCAATAAACTGCCTTGGACTACAAGAATTCTATGCACGAGGTTTTCTCCAATCGAACAGAAGGGACTCTCACACGAACGATGGAAAACAGAGTGAGAGTGCAGAAAATGTGTGACAAGGCACCCCGTCGGTTGCAACAATGGCTGCTCGGTACTTGTCGGGCCCCCAGCCCAAGTCTGGGCCTGGTGCAGCAGAAAAGTATGACCAAAAACTGCAACGTTCATGAATTCTTTCGGACAGTGTATTCTGAGAGTAGTACCAGTAGTATATATATATATAATATCCTTATATATATATATATTCGGACAGTGTATTCTGGCGCCGAAAGAATTCTTTTTCGGACATGCCACTTTTTGGACATTCTTTCTGGGGCACTGACCAATCAGGTCGACTTCCCCTGTGTTGGTATTGACCCGCAAGATGCGATTGGAACACCTGAATGGCATTAACAATGCTGAGCTATGCTGAGCTGCACCCATGCCGGGGCACAAACATGCAAAGCTCAGCACTTGGCCATGGTTGACAGTACAGGATTCCAGCAGGGCTTAGAACTCCATCCATCCACTTCCCTGGCAAAAGGCAAAGGTGCCTAGTCTAACGTGCCATTTAGAACTTGGACAGGGCGCATGCTTCCCATTTTCGCCTCAGTGCTCAGATAAGAAACCCAGGATCCTACTAGCACTGCTGGCCTTAAACACCAGAAGACTTTGCCAGCGGTACCCCAGCGCTCGTCATCTGCTTCGCCATCTCCCAGTCCAATACTATCACCAAACTCCTGCAGGCGAACGGACGAACGCTGGAGACTTTGGAGACTGAACACTCGTTTCTCTCAATCCTTGGCTAGCTCAAGGGGATCTGGCATCACAAATTCAGGGCCGATAAGCTCTGAAGTGCCGACCTCACCATATGAACAGGGTCCCGTGAAGACGAACTGATCTGTGAATACTGAATACCTTGATGGCCGCTTTCCACACAGGGCCGTGGCAAATGGATCAATGCGCAGAACATGGGAAGCGAACCTGCCACGACGAAATCGAAATCATTCGAAATCAAAGTCCTCTTGATGCCCGCTTGAATGGTTCCTGAGGCTTCTGAAACACCTTGGCGTCTTTTTCTGAAGAGCAGAGGCATCTCTGATCTTCTGCTTGAAACGGATCCCGCATGCAAGCAATCGTGCCAAAAGATTCAGCGACAACCTTGGCCACTGGTACTGTACACTTGGGAAGCGAGTGCCTGTCTTCACCATGAGGTGAAATCCTGTACAAAAGCTCGGACCGGCAAACTCGGACCTGCACAAAGGCTGCTTAGAAGCCTCACATCTTCAGCTTGATCAACTCCCTAGCTTCTTGATCTGGACACCTTCAAGGCATACTGAGAGAAACAGTCTCCACATGTCTAACTCTTGCTAAAGGAATACTCTTCGAACTCGCTGACTGCCTGGCGGCTTAGCGGTACACTGGCTGCGGGTAGCCCATCACTTGAGCAGGTGGCCTATGGCAGGGGCCCCTGGTGAGCTTCAAACGATCCAGGCAATCCAACAAAAGCAATCCAACAAAAAACCTCAAAAGGCAAAACAGCAAAAAAACATTTCAAACATGTTTTGTTGCTCTTCAGCTCTGAGTTAATGGCGCCATGATCACCTGCTCAGGTGTATACCCAGCCTGGGGCTTGAGACGGGACATTGCACAAACTGCAGGCTCCACCAAAACAATAGAGGATAATAGAGGTAATATGATTCTCAGCCTGGGACAGGATACATCACTGGGCCTTGTGCCATCACCATCGGACCCTGGAAGTCAGCAAGGCGATGAAGTCGGGCACTGCAAACTCCAAACGAGAGCCAATTTAGCAACGCCCAATCTCCTTTGACAAAAATATTATTCAAGAATCTCCTACTAGCCGCATTGCTGAAGGTCAGTCTGAGGATAAGGGTGAAATGCCAAAAAAACATAGGCACCTGCAATGTGTGCTTGCTGAAGAGTACAGGACAAACGAAACGACATCAAACGAGCAAATGTGCAATGGCTGTGCAAGCCCCGAGCCCCGCTCCATTCACATATATTCACATGCCGTGGCCGAACCCAGTGAGCACATTTAATCCACTGCTACTAGTAGCGTACTTGCTCCTAGTAGTGATGCCCTTTGTTCCTAGTACAGTAGCTTATTGTTCCCAGTAATTCCCTTATAAACCCTACTCAACCAGGCAGTACAATAGAGGAGTAAACTGGTTGTGTAACTAGTTTCATTGTTCCTGACCCTCTTGTCAGCAGTCCTGTTTTCGAGGCTCACAGCAGCATGGGCAGCAACAGCTGATGCCTTGTCCATTGCACGAAGATTGCTTGAGATCTCATGAGGCTTCTTAGCTGCTTCTTGCATCCACGACACACGCGACGCATCCCACGAGCTCACAGCAGGTGAGCACCCCGCAACCTTCAAGCGTATCTCGGCAGCAGCTGCCTGTGGGAGCAAAAATAGCAACTTTTGGGAGGCTTGGTGCACCCGTGCCTCCACAGCAGGTCGCGCAGCAAGCCGCACAGCACAAGGTCTCGGCAACGGCTGCTTCAGCCTCTGGTGCTTTGACAATTATGCATGCCTGAGAGTTGCTCAAGTATCCAGGCTTCCAACGTTAGCCATTGTGAATATCTGCTACCAAGGAGAAGCCAAACTACTTACTTGATCTTCAGTGGCTGCCAACACAGGCACCGTGCACGCAACATTGCACAAACATCATGCTGCGTGAAGGTGTGCTGGCTGTAGGCAACGAGTGTGGCTTCTCAAGCTGGCTTTGCCGGGGTGACCAAGGAGGGCAATAGATATTTCCGTCCGCACCAAACACTCCAGACCTTAGGCCAAATCCATCTGGCAATCTGCTAAACCCACGGAAAACTCAGGATTCTGTGCCTCCATTTCCCCACACCACTGCCCAAGTCAGCACCTCCAGCTTGGGAGTTCATTCTTTTATACCAGCAATGGGATCTAAAATCTGTGCAAACATCTCGCAGTGAAGTGTACGGCCTACAATCTGCACATCGATCTGCTGGGGCTCTCGTGGATCAATCCGAAGAACGTGGCTCGCGTTCCTCGGAAGTTTTGGCAGGCCCGAAGAAAGCCTTTGCTTTCAGTTCTGGCAAAAACGCACTGATACAACCTCGAAAGCGAGAACTCCACTAGCGAAAAGAGCCGTCGAGTCTCTAAGCTTCCCACCAGGGGGGGGCAAGCGAGAATTCCACTCGGTGTTGCGACAGCCTCAGAGTCCAAAAGCTTGGTACCGTGCCTGCCATGCCACGGCATAGGAGTGCGCACGACCGCTCTCCGGACAAGAGGAAAATACATGCTCATCGGATTGAAAGGACGGCAGCTGTGGATGCTAAATTCTAAATGGTACACGGCAAGTCTATTTTGCTTCTCCCCTTGAGACTTCCACAGCTCGCCACTTTTGGCTTCCATACTCCGTCAGCGATGGACCTGCAAAATCTTGGTGCTCAAGGTCCGCAGCCGCGCTTTCTGCCAGGACAGTGTCGCTGATGTCATATGATAATATCATCAAGCTGTGCGGACGCTGCCGACCTACCAGCTGGGCATACCACATCTTGTTCTCATTGTAGCTCCTTGTCAAACGCACTAAAGGGTCGTCACATCACTGACATCACTGACGCTGATTGATGCTGATTGTATCTGATTGTCGATCATTTTGGATTCTAAGTGGCTGGCTCAGGCTCTTCAGGCTCAAACATGACTCAGTATCACGAAGAGCATAGAGTGAGGCGAACTTGGCAAACGTTAGTAAGGACAGGTAAGGACTAATTAATATCTATGTACAATGTAAGTACATGATTGTACATGTTTGTTCATCACAGTTGCACAAACACATCCAACTTGAATCCATGAAATTTCGTGAATTATCAGATGAGACACCGACACTGCAGAACTTTCTACGGGGCAATACTCTGGTCAATTTGAAAGATAGTTAGAGATAGTTTGAGTTTATTGGTGTTTTGATATGTTGTGTTCGTAGGGGTGAGCTGACTTTGCAGACTCGAAGGAAGCTTGAACAGACATGAGAGTAGGATTCGCTCTTAGCACCAAAGGATGTCGGCAACGGTTGGATTGTCAGCCGAAGTCTGGTCAGTGTCTTGGCCCTTTTTGGCGCTGGCAACCCTTTGGGTTGACTGCCTGCTTCCGACAGAGAGCCTTCGGACAACGACGTTGATCCATTTATATATTACATTATATTACTATATGCGGTAAGTCGTATTTGCATGTGCTCGATTCATTCTAAGAAGGCGCTTACATTGACCATGCACGCCTTTCCGTGCGAGGCCTGCTTGTCAGGCCGTGAAACGCAACGATTCTCTGCATGAAGGGCGCCAATGAAGGTCTTTCCAGCATCGAAAAGACCGGTTAACAAGCCAACATCATCCAACAACTTATCATTTTTCTCAATGGACAGTTGTACGCAAACCATCACAACTTGTTTGTCCATCTGCATCTAACCGTGGGAGCCTCTCCTTCTCCGCGCCCAAAAACGGCGTAACATCACGGCCGCCAACAAATGCCCCGCGTGCGAACTGGACTTAGGTTCCTTGAAGGGCTCACTTCTCGCTGTGCAGACTTTGTGCACGGACTATGACAATCTCTGGGTGACCTCGGAGATCCGCTGCTCCTGAGGCCGAATCTCGGTGTGCAGATGTCAGCTGACATGAACCCGGTGATCCCTAGTATGTGTGGCTGGTAAAGTAACACCGAAAGGAGAACCGAAAGAAGTGAAAGAGTGTTCACATTTCTTCCCAGTCAGCATCTGAAAGCCTACTCCCAGCCAAAAGGCTTCCGCAGTTCTCGAGGTGAGAGTTTTGGGCTTCCAAGTCGACGGTCCTCACCTCTGCAAACAGCCGAAATCTTGGCCGAGATCTGCGTAGTACAGTACAGTCTCTATAACCTATACGTACACATTGCTTGGGTCTTGCTTATTAGCTGTAACAGTGAGGACAATCTAGAGCACCAAAGCTGCACGGTGAAAAACACCCAAAACCCACTTCCACCTAACCAAGGAAAATGTGTTTATGACTGTTAAAGCTAATAGGACTGACCCAATACATTGCATTTCTTTGCAGTATTCAGCTAGTCTTCACCGAACTGTAGTTACAAGGAATCGGCATGTTCGTACCCCAATGCCATGAGGTATCTTATGATCTGGATCATACGACCCGGCTCCACAAGAGTGCCCCTTCCAAGAAAGCAGTGTCCAGCCTCCACTCTTTGGCAACGGACTACCCGCTGCTGGGATTGAGGCTTTGGAAGTGACCGCCTAGCGCAGCGATTCCCAGCGCAGCAGCAGCAGAATCGAACAATTTCTGGAACATGGCTGAAATGAATGACATTAGCACGCATTGCTATTGGCCTAATCCTATGGAGGAGTGTTGACTCGTGAACCCTCCCGTCCTCGGGTTGGAAGATGGCACTCCTGCGCACCGCGAAAATGGTGGGATGGTTGTGGAGCTCCAAAAACACAGACCCACCTGCAAGCGCGAGGTGACAGCGGCATTGCCTTCACCCTTGGGCCAAGACCTTATCCAGTATCCAGGGATATCTAATCGACGTCTTCAATCTTCTCAAGTGAGCCCAAACAACAAGGAACGTGCCGACTGAGGTCCAAGCTTTGACAGGGAGACAGGCTGCCTTTTGGGTTCGTTCGCATCACGTCAAGAACAGCGGAGCCTTTTGCGTCAGAGCCTTTTGCGTCAGAGCCTTTTGCGTTTTCATAGGTCGAATTGAGTTCGTTGCTGGAAAGGCCGAATGTATCCAAATTTCCCCAGGCCTCAGTGTCTCTGTAGTCCGCATGAATGCACAACATGTGGCGCAGTGTATCAGGAATCTAGATCAAAGGAAACAGGCATGGTATAATCCTGATTTCTTTTATGTTTAAGCACAAAACAAATCAAGATACTGAAACTAGGTGAACTGCAGTTTTCTGTCTGCGACAGAAAATCTTTGGGTCTTCAGAGAAGGTGCTTCCTTGGCAGTCCAATCCATCAAAGAAAACGCTAGGAACACTTCAGAGAAGCTACAGCGTCTGGGATCCAAACCATTTAACGCTGCCCAACGTCCGGGGCAATGGTCGGGGGAATAGGCTGCCCAGCGGCCAGGGCCATTGCGAGCCAGTCCTTAAAGGTCTCAGCTGCAGAATCGCCATGGATCTTACTGCAGCACAACATACGTATACGAGAGATCCATGGCGATTCGTCAGAGGGATCCTTCCACTTCCGTGGAAGGAATTTTGCTTTCGTGTGAGGGACAAGAAGTGTCTCATGGTCACTCATGGTCCCATGACATAGCAGGAACAGAATGTGCCATGTCAAAGTCAGCGGGTCTTGGTCCTGACCCCGAGACCTTGGACCAAACAGCGTGAACCGATCCCCAACATCCGAAGCATCCCAAAGCATCCCGAAGCACAGCTCAATGAAGCTCAGCAACCTGTGTAAGCAGAATGAAGTTCTGGCCCTATGATCCAATGTCCAGTCCTGAGCACACTCACAAGATCGTCAGAAGGGAATCATATCCCAAAACATCCCCAAACCTCAGTGATGACCTCATTGATACTCATTGATCAGGTCGAGATAGACAGCTTACGAGCTTACTGAGCCCACAGACTCCGGCCAAAAGAAAAGATACTTGGGGAAGTCCTCCTGCCACCGCTGACCGCAACGAACCGCAACCGCTGCTGCAACCGCTGCTGCCGCCAAAAACGCCCTCACCCACAGGGCACCTCTTCGTCACCGTGCTCTCGTCGCCTTGGGGCACAAGAAACATTGCATGTCATCGGAAAGCAACAGCCTGAGACTTGATGTTCTGGCTGGTCAGAACGCATGCGAGATTTCAGTGTCTACCGTTCTTGAATGTTCTTGAGGTTCTTCGAGGTTCATTTAGGCAACATTTTGGGGTAAGGGATCAAAATAAAAATAGAAATAGAATCAAAAAATATTCAACGGGGATCAATAAAAAAATAAAAAGGGAATCAAAAAAATATATTCTAGCCCACTGAGGATGGTTGGGGTAGTAGTAGTAGTAGTAGTAGTAGCAGTAGCAGTAGCAGTAGCAGTAGCAGTAGCAGTAGCAGCAGCAGCAGCAGCAGCACCAGCGTAGCAGAGCAGTAGCAGCAGCAGCAGCAGCAGGAGGAGGAGGAGTAGTAGTAGTAGTGGTAGTGGTAGCAGTAGTCACGGCGTTCACACGAAGTTAGGCCCTACATGGCGTTGTCAGAGCGCTCAGAGCAGAGAAGTGTTTGGAATGGGTGTAGCAGCATCGGAAGGTGCCTGGATGGGAATCGCCTCAGGAAAAAGATGTGGTGGACCAGTCTATTTCTAATGGGTGCATTGCGGTCGCAGCCGTACAGGGTCTTTTTCACCAAGCTGGTGAACCATTTTTCGAGTAGGGCTACTCAATGACTGGACGGCTACCTTATCGTTGGGTACCTACTTTCTTCCCAGGGAGCTGCCTCTAGTAGAAAGCAATCAAGCCTCTATTTGCGCAAGCAGGGGACCAGGAGATCGACAGACGAGCGCCGTAGGAGAGCAAAAGACCAGCAGACCAGGAGACAGAAGGACTAGGATACCAGGGGACCAGCGGACCACAGGACCAGAGGACCAGGAGACCGGAGGACTAGGGGACCAGTGGACTAAAGAACCAAGGGACCAGGGGACCAAAGGACCAGTGGACCAGAGGACCAAGGGACCAAAGGACCACATTACCAGAGGACCCGCAGACCAAAAGGCCAGGAGAGCAGCAGAAGAGGCCTATCAAGGAATATTTTTTTTTGATTCGCTTTTTATTTTTTTTTGATCCTGTTTTTATTTTTTTTTGATGCTCTTTTTATTTTTTTTGATACCTATGCCAACATTTTGGCCTTGGTACGAGGTTCTTTTCTACCAGGGCCTGAGAGCCTGAGAACCGTTTTAAAGCATCAACTTGAACACAAGGACCGTGTTTAATGCCATAATACGCTTGGTGCGCCACATTTTCTTCCAGGCTGGCCTTGATGCCCACCTTGGGGACCGAAGCGAAGCTCTGGGCGGTGTTTGATCAACGGACCCACGACGTGGGGCTGATGCCCTGGAGATCAACCCTTTAGATGATTAAGGGCCTCCCACTGTTGAAACATGCAAGTTGATATCCAAGCTTTTCATGAAACGAAGTCTACGTGTTCCAAGTACTACGGGTCAACAGGTCATGAATGATCTTGTTCGGGTAATGTCAAAGCTTGAGAGATCAAACCTGAAGGCCCGCTGAGTCCCAAACATGGACTCTGGAAGCAACTCATAGGAGCCATTCAGCGACTGTACCCTGAAGCAATGAGGGGGACGATGAGAAAAACATCGAATGAGATGAACAGTTTCTGCCAACTTTTAACCAAAAAATGCCAGTCAAAGAAGGGTGGCATTGCAACTGATCTTCGGCTTCAGAGGTCAACGACTTTTGGAGGTGACACACCTTTCACCCTTTGACAAACGAAAGCACATGGCGCCTGCTTCCACAGCCACCAATGCATAGGAAGAAGGGTGGGGCATCGAACCCCAGCGCCATGAGTCTAAGCCATTTTGTTGCCACGAGCTGCTCCGAGAGTAAAGCACTTGGAGGCGCCTTGAACGGGAAAAGAAGCACTGGAAAGCGCTGAAAGAGACAGTGGAACCGATGTGAGAACAATAGTTTACCGAGAAACTACTAATACCATTTACTTCATGTTATTTCTATTGACGTCCTGGATCACTTGTTTTCTCACTCTGAAGCCAACACTCTTGAATGAGAAACATGGCATGCTATGGCTGTGGCTCTCGAAGGGGCGAGCCGGTGATGAAAGCCAGGGACCTGGTCGAAACAAAAACAAATCGCCCGACCACCACCCCGGCCGCCGAAGCCGACGCCAAGGAAGGAAGGACAGTGCATGGTACCCTGCATGGTGCACAGCCTGGCTGTCGGCCGCCTCCCAGTCCATCGCATCCTCACCACTGCAAACACCACATTCGCCGCCGCAGTGTGCTACCACTGAGCTGAACGAAGACTGCGCGCCGACCGGTGATCCAAACCGGTTGGTGCCTGTGGAAGCAACGGTGTCCAACTTGGACCGCTTCTTGCCAGGACCTGACGACACGAAACCCTAAACCCTAACCCCTTGGGCCCTTTGGGCCCCTTCGCCCAAAACGATTCTATTTATTGTTTCTAATAGCTTCTTGTTACTACTAGTAAGGCACTTGTTACTACTAGTAAGTAAGGCACTTGTTCCTAGTAGCTTATTGTTCCTTACGAGGATCCGAGTCGCGCCTGACCGAAACGCCCTAGCACATCTGGTCCGGCAGACCTGAGAGACGTGACCGCCGGCAGTGAAGCGAATTGACGACATATGGGTCTCATGGACCTACGTTTTCGGTCAATTGGAGTGACGCTTAATTACAGGTGATGCGTCACCTGCGCATACGTTTCGGGCAAAGCTCTCTGCTTCTCTCAGTCTCCGGGCGCAACGGCATGGTTTGCTGCGAGTGGAGAGATTGTGCTGACCTCATGTTCCAAGCAAATTCCAGTGAGCTGAGCGAAGAGAATTCTTACTGGACTTATTGAACATACGTACGTGACATACTCCAAGCTGATCGATTGCACGGGAAAATGCTAAGCAACTAGCCACCCAATATCCGGAGCGAGGTTCGAAAAAGAGGAAGAGTCCAGGCCTAAAAGTATCTTTGAATCTCTTTGGATTTAGGCAATGTTTTTTATCGGATTTTTCCGTGTTCAATTTTTCATTTTTTTTTGTTTCTCGGCTCTATGTTTTCTTTTCTTTCTGAGTGGGGAACTGCGAAGGCAAGCTCGGCCTTGTCAGCGAACTGTCCAATTCCATGCAACGTTCGCTGTCCCGATCCAGCCTGGGACCGCAAGGTTGCAGCGGAGCTCGCCGATAGACCTGGTGTGCCAAGTGTTCGTAACACACAGGGGCAGTTCGAACACATTTCTTGCTTCCTCAGATTTGTGTTTGAGCCGAATGGGAAGGATGAAGTCTTGGACAACCTCAAACGTGTATGTGGCACTGGCCGCTTCCCATATCTTTGCCGGAGCCTCCAGTCTTTGGCTCTCATTGCAGCAACGTACACAAAGCAACGTACGGCTTTGCACGTTAGTCACCTCTAAGGCTTTGCGACTCTACAAGGACTGGGAATGAGACAACCTGAAGTCGCCGGCCAATGGATGCTCAGCAACCGCCTGGCACAAGCGAGGTGTGCAGAAATCCGATGGGTATTGCAGTCGCCAGACCTCGCCTGCACTCCAGCTTCTGAGCCTCTCATTTCAAAGTCCAACACATCTGTTCCAAAAGAAACACTGTCATGACAAACATTTAGAATGTTAGATCCTTGCAGCTTGCTGGACCACTACCTTGACCACCATACAAGTCCAAAAACATCCAAAAACACAGTTCCCTGTCTTCGGCCTTGATAAAAGGACACGGTCCTTGCAGGACATCGATCTTCCAAACTCACCACCTGGGCGAGTGAGCGACCAAAACCGCGCGTCAGGTCGCCGTGACCGGGTCGGGTTAGGTCGATCGGGACCGAGGTCGACCGCGACCTCCAAGGCGTCACAGTCTTCGAAGTGCGCGTCCTGTCGGAACGAGTCGTGGCGTGCGAATGCGTGCGATGATGGATGGATTTTCCCACGTGGGTCGTGGCGTCACAGTCTTCGGGTCGTTTTCGGGTGTTTCTCGGTCGGAGATCCACGGGAGATTTGAGGCAGTCGACATGTTCAAGAACTCTTCCTACCAAATGCTTCAGAGAAACAAATTGGACGGTTTGGGTAGCTGTGCAGAATGGTGCAGTAATTACAAGTATTATATACTGACCAAGCTTTGCAGAGTCATAAAGCAGGAGAAAGCAAAGGTGTCAATCGTACTCAAATATGTATAAATGCATACAAAGGCCATTATTACTTTAAGCCTTGGGGTGCCTCGTCCATCTCATGCTTGCTCTGGAAGACATTGATCTCCGGCTCCAAGGTCTCAAGAGGAACGAAGGCGGATCATGACACATAAAACACATCATCTCCGATCCCACTTCTTTTGGACTGATGCTGGTCGAAGTGACGAAGATTGACATGTGAAAAGTGCGAGACTGAGAGGCTGACACGTACTTGCCAAGGTCCCAGATCTTTGTGCAAAACCTGAGCACGTACCAATGCAAAACAAAACCTTCTTTTTAGCAGATCTGACATTGAGAGCCCAGCATCGGCGGACCAAAGGACCTGTGCCAAAAGCAAGCATGTGCCAAAGAACCACTCTACTCAGGAGTTTGAGGGTATGCCTTCATCCTTGAGGTCCTCTGAGGCCTTTGAGTCAAACAACTCTGAAGAGGTCTTGTCCAAACGACTGCAGTCGACTGCAGGTCTTGAGTCTCGAATCTCGACACCCACCCCAGGCGTGCCTGCCTCATCCCAGCCAACTGGACTCCGAGCCAGTACACTCAGCCCCTTGGCTCCAACTTCTGGTGCCACCTGCGAAAACCCAAAACAAACGGCGAATACATGCGAATACCATATCCATATCTAGCCTATTGACATCCAACATCCACTACCTACCTTTCCACCACGTGATGTCTGGAGATCTCTCAGAACGCGAGATTTTTACAGCTCCTCTTGCGCTGAATCCATGATGACCGACTCCTCTGATTCAAAGCAAGCTCCCCTGCACGGCCCTAAACCCTAAACTGCTGCCTTCCACCGTCGACTCTGGTCATCATCATCATAGAAGAGGAATAGCTGCTTCTCCTCTAGGCAAACAGCGACAACACATCAGGCATCATGTATAATAGAATCAAGATGAATCAAGTAAAATCACAAAAGGGACGCAGCATGAATTAGCCCCCAACCTGTGACTTTTCATCATCCAGAATGCCTGGCAGAACATGATCTTCGGATGATCCCTGTGACCAACTGCGTGCCTCCACGCGGACGCAAGGGAGCCTGGAAAGCACAGCTGATCCACTCAGTTAGACGTTCGTTCGTCGTCTGCTGGAAGACATCCGAAAACATCGGAGAAAGCCATCGGAGAAACCCACGAAGCAGAGGTTTGTTCTTCCAGAGTCTTCCACTCCTTCCTTCGGTTCCTTCAGTTCCTTCGGTTGTTTTCAATGAAACCCCTGCGGTCCTTAATGCAAACCGGACGATCCCCATAGAGCTGATCGGATCGGACGTAGTCGCCGCTGAGGCCTGGCGCGGCGGACGGCAGACCCGTCTGCCGCCTTGCCGTCACTTCGACGGATCAAAGCAGCCAGGCTCCGCCAAAGGCTTCGGAGAGGCCCTCGAAGTGGCGAAAGCTCAGACACAGAACGAAGTCGCTCTCCTGGCCCAGCATTTTTAGAGCGAGGCGCGCTCTTAAGCAGAAAGGCCAAAGCGGATCAAAGCGGCCCCAAGCGTGGCTTACAGAAACACTGATTTGAAGTTGCAAGCCAATTTAAGCAACATCATGTGCACGCAAAAAGTCTCTTCAGTGATGTCCATCTGTGCACAAACCAGATCTCGATTGCCTCTGGCTCTGTACCACAAATCTCCGCAGTCTCCCCGTCAAAGGTATCGTTCTGTGGCGATCCCAGACTGCGCGGAGAAGAACCTGGAGACACCTCGGACAATGGGGTTTGGTTGAAAGCCACATTGACATCAAACCAGGCGAGTCCGAGAGCCTTAAGTAAGTTGGCAAGCTGCTGGTTCTAATCTGCATCATGTTTATACGGATGAAATACTCTCAACGTTCAACATGCAATGTATTCGCACACTACGCTGCTGTAAATCCTTTCAGGCGGCAGTTACATAGCAGTTGCATAAGCAATCGGCTGTCATCTAACGCAGTGGACATCAAGACATACTTCCACCGACAAGCAAAATGCGATGGGCATCCGGACACCAGACACAGAGCGTCCGAAGCTGCGAGTGGCCTGGCCCAGTGAGGTGCAAACTTCACCGGAGAAGGACTGTCGATCGGATGTGGCGGGTCCTAGCTGGACGGGAAGACTGCTAGGCATTTCATCCATTTTCCATGGGTATCGAAGTCCACAAACTTCACCGGAGTTGAACTGGATTTGACTGGATAAGTCCCCAAATGGTACAGGAAGAAGCATCTCAAACATGCTGGTTGCTGATCCTTATCTAAGCCATAGCCAGCCGAACTCCTCTGAGGGACATGCCTTGCGTGCATAGCCTTCGCTGACTTGAAGCCAGGACCATGGAATAAAGACCTCACACCGGTGTGTCTCACACCGACACGTCCTGACTGTTCGCAAGTGAAGAAAATGAACACGGCCAAACCCTGCAAGAGTAGCGGTTGATGAGAGCCTTGGATTAGCTAACTGAGCCCTTTTTTGATCACCAAATTTTGGTCACACCACCCCTGCGCTCTGAGGGTGTGACGCTTGCATCCTCGTTTACATCTTCCTCTGCCTTAGATCTTTCGGAATCTTTCATTGGGATAAATCAATCAAATAGTAAGACCCCCTTCCAATGAAACGTGCCGCATTGCCAGACTTGTCTTTTTTCATTTTCATCATTGTTCTCTTGTGCCAACAGGCAGGCCACGGTACACACGCCACACAGCCATATCAAACAATGTGGGCTAAGCCAAGGACAAGCCTGCGCCTTTCCGTCATGCCATACTGCAAATGAGTCCTCGAAGCAGAACAAACAATAAAGCTGGCCCCAGGGGTGTCAGCAAACTCCAAGACTTAGAAAAGGTCGGAAGTTGCTGGATGATGGACCAAGGTTGCCTCAAACCAAGGTTCCACATTACATTGAAATGAGTGGCTGCTTGCAAATCTGAGGAAGGGACAAGCTTGCTGGTGACCTTGGTCCATTGAATGCTACTGTCCTCCTGAGCCAGCCTCCATCTTCATTTCTCCAAGTCACGAGGAAGTCCATGCGACAGGGCTCCTCTCGCGTGCTTTCTGGCACGGAAGCATCAAGCACCAAATTCGTCAACCGCACAAACAACTACGCATGCAAAAGAATGCACGGCCAAATGCATGTTGAGCCATTTTCAAATCGGAAGGCAGGGCATCTCGTGCAGGCTCTGCATGGCTGCACGGCGGAAACGTTTGTACATGCGCAGAACAAGGCTGACAGGCAATAATGGAAACAGAGACGGACATTTAAACACATAGTGAACATCATAGTAGCAAACTGCTTCTTGTACATCACGATTGGGGTTGCTGAATGCAAGTCTTGCTTGTTGATGTTGAACAAACTGCTTGCAACCCAAGCAAAGTTCTTCTGCAGCTATGTTGGGCCATTGGCTTCTGTACACATGCCACATGGCGCTCAGTGATCGTTTGAAGTCCCGGCACGTGTCTGTGCCGCTAGGTCCGCCTCACGAGTGCGCACGACTGGTCGTCGGTTCGTTTTCTCGTCCGTTGCAGGACTTCGCTGCGACTGACCCGAGTCACTTCATGAGAAAATCGCATTTCTGTGAGACAAGAGCATTACTGACTGCTTTAGTTTGCGCAAACATGATGGCATTATGGCTTCAAGAATCTTCACCCTTGCTGTGGGTAACTCTCATCAACGATTGTGGCTACGCTCTTTTGGCATGCTCTTGCTGTACGAGCCGCATCACTTCCAGCAGCAGGGGCGGTCCAAGGGGTGTGTCATTCTCATCCACCACCGCCCAGGCAGAGGTCAAAGTTTCTCCACAAGTGCCAGGATTGAAGGCAAGATCCATCACAAGCTCGACCTCAACATTTCTATTTCTTCATGTTGTAGCGAAACCTTTGTCTTTGCAACTTGTCCCTCTACAGTTGAATCTCTTTCTTAGGCCTGTACAGTACATCTTACGGTTGATTCCTGAAACAAATCGACAAACCCCTGGTTCCTTGAAATGAAGACATACTGTAAGTTTGGCCACATCTACATATATATATATACCTCTAAACAGTTACCACCCCACTGGAGATCCGCAAGTGTTCTTCTATGGTTTCTTGATTTAACATTGATCAAATCATGAATTGATCATCAAACACACACACACACACATCAAAGATCGGATTAGTTCATCCCTCCATCCATCCACTCCATGCTGGCATCCCATTCATCACGAAGACGAGAGAGCCAGGGCACCGTCTCGCCCGGCTTCACGGGTCCCAAAGGCATCTCTAAAAAGCCCCATGAAGGGCCTTCCTGGAGCTTCAAAGCACACACCTGGCAGCGACGATGGCACCGGCACTCGGACTGCTGCGGGTGAAGAAGTCGTCAGGAGTCCATTGGATGTCTTTTTGATGTCGAAGGAGTCTTTTTTCGCTTTGAAGTCTTGAGGTCATTTTTGATCAAAGAAGATCATTCAGCTGAAGCGTTAAACACAGATTTGCAAGACATTCCATGGAATAACAAATATAATGGAATCAAGCATGGCCATGCTTCATGATCAGTTGAGAATTCCTTCGCACCTCTGGCCATGCTTCAGCGCCATCGTTGACGACCACGATCTTGACCTTAATCGGATTCATCCCATTCAGAATCCAATGCCTTCCAATAGGTGCCTTCCAACCCGAAACCAAACGTGAAGACACAAGAGACGACAGCAAGTGTCGGACCAGCGCTTTCGTGGTATGTAGTGCGGCGGCGTGGTGGATTTCCAACTTTTCGAGCAGGAAGGCCTTGTCACAAAACGACTGAGCAATGTGGATGTCACCCCAACCCACTTCAATTTCCAGCTGCAACACCACATTGCTGCAAACATAGAGTTGGCCAAATACCAGTACAATTTAGGAAAATAGCTGGTAACACCTATATAATATTTCATAGTTTACAGGGATTTGGAATGTTGCTGCTACGTTGCATTGAACCTACTCCGTTTGGCTCTTTAATGTTGAGTTTGATGTTCAACTGGGGCACTCCACACATGCATATACATGCATATACTACACATACAAATACTATATGATACTGTACACATGACATACTTGTATATACATATATAACTATATAAATACAATATATATATAATATACATATATACATACACATAATACATGGACACGGTATCTTCAACGCCGCCTCGGCTCCCTGCCAGGGTGAGAGCTTCATCAGGTTGTTGCAGGGCTTCATCAGCTTCGTGTCACTCAGGAGATGAGAGACGAACACAACCTGACCCAGTTCGAGTCTAAGACCCCAAAGGGCCAAGATGTAAACCCCCAAAAGCCTGGCGAAAGACGAAAGAGCCTTGCGTTGTTGACCAAAGAGCGTTGCGCACATGCATCTTGTTTTATTGTCGTCCCTCCGTTGGATGACTTCGACAGGATTGTGACTTCCTGGACTTCGTCAGGTTGCTCTCGCCTTGACACGAAAAGGAACGTGAGGTTGCTCGCCCTGTGGTGCGACATCCATCTGCCAATCCTGCCAGTGCATGTTTCTGCGATGGACACATGGAAGACATAATCTCTCTTGTTCAACCAGGAGCCTCGTTCTCAGAAGTGTTCTCAGATCCAACTCCATCCAGCCTTCCAGGAAACAACTCGAGCAACGACCGTGAGCTTGATGTTCTGGATATGATGACCCAATCATAAATGTATAATAGTATGATTCGAATTCGTTTCTTGTGATGCGAGCAATATCAACTTTCAACGCTATAAGTATACAATGGTTAAATATGATATTTGATGCTGCTTGGCTAGCTAAACCCAGGAATGTCAGGTCACTCTACCCTTCGAGCCTCTCCCAGTCGTCAGAAATGTCTGATCCCGACTCCTGACAGCTGTACACTGTGTTCAACCTTTGGAATGATGGCACTGTTCAACCAAATTTGAACATGATATCATGATAAACCAATAATGCTCCTCAACATCAAGAGTCATGAAGTTGTATCAGCGACATAAATATTCTGATTGGACATGTCAACCAATGAAGGTGTTCAATAAAACCCAAGGGGTTGTCTCATGTGTCTATCAAAGTGTCATCCAATCGTCCAACAACAGTCTGAAATAGCAAGTGGCCTAGAACAAGAAACACAGTTCTTCAACGCCAAATCTGAAACGCGGCTCGAAACTTTTGATGACCTCTCGCCCAGTCCCAAACTCGAAAAAACAAGGAGCCTGTGCCTGACTCGGACTTCCCGGCTTGGAGCTTGCGGTGCGCAAAGCGACTTCCAAAGCCGCTTCACTAAAGGCCCTGTGGGCTGCTTCACGAAGTGATGCGTTTGTGCTGGACATCAGCTTGGCCAACGCGGCAGCCGCCACCTGGGACTGCATCGAAGGACACTGTTGAAACAGGTGGAGCCGTTCTTTTTTGGCCTTTGGTATGCAATGACTGTGGCTTGGTGTAAGGGCTGAATCTTTGTGTCTGATTGCTGATGATGGTCTGGGCGTTTCCATCACAACACATCACAATTCTTACTCCTTCGAATTCTTCATGATTCAGTGACATTTTGCCGTTGTTTCTATCACCCAAGTGCACCATACTTGTACAAGTGTGCACCATACTTGTGTTAGTGTTCAACAAGGCTCTCAAACAAAACCTGGATGCCACCATTCAGGTGCCTTCTGTTCTGTCTTGAGCTGACAGTTTGTGCTTTCTGCAGTGTTTTGCTTGTGTCTGTGATCTCTACACCTTCGATCAACAGCATCGCACAAGTTCATCTTGCATCCAATGATTGGTCGCTCCAGACCAATGCCAACGTGAGTCGCGGACAAAGACGCTTGCGGAACAGGTGCGCGCAATCGAGATGACATGTTTGTTGGTCAACGGAGGAAAACCATGGCAGCAAATAGCTGTGACAAACATAGACCCAACACAAGGATCCTTCACAAACAACCGCTTCGGTATGTTTCCGGAAGTTTGTTCCTAGTAGCTTCTTGCTCCTAGTAGTAAGGCCAGAAGCTACTAGTAGAGTCCTTGCTACTAGTAGCGATGCCCTTTGTTACGAGCATTCGGAGGAATCAACAGAAATGTCGTGTCGGCTTCAGTAGCTACCGCTCTCTCATGCCAGTTGCGACAAGCCAGCCTTGGGATCCAACTCAGCTTCACTGATGACTGCCGGCAGCATCTCCTCCTCCTCTACAAAGCATGGTCCAATGGTTCTGCCAGTGGGATCTGTAACTGGATCTGTAGATGAATCAGGTTGATCATGTTTACCTAGAGGTTGACTTATTCTGTAGGAAAGCCATCCGTGTCCAGGTTTTATGAGCCAAATTTGGTTATCAGTCTGTCACTGCAGGCTTCAACTGTTTGAGAAGCTGGTCTTGGTGCCATATGGTCTATGACTGTTGATCCTAACCAATCTAGAGATTCTGTCATGTCGGGGACCAGCGACCTTCTGCCATCCTTGCTTGCATGACCAGCGATGCGGTTCTTTTTGGAATTTTGGCGCCAAAAGGCCAAGTTTGGCCCCAAATGAGTCTGCTTGAACAAACAGTTTCCTCTGACCCAAACATTTGGACCCTCCATTTCCCTCAATCTACCACCAACTTGGAAACGGTCGACCACCAACTTGGAGACGGATCCATGTGGTGTCCATCTCCATTTGGTGTCCCTCACCCACCCACGGTCGAGACCGGTCGAGACCTAGACAGTCGACCCGAGCCGGGCGAGTGTCCTCGAGCCAGGCCTGTTTCGGTTCGGGCATATCCTGCGGCACAGCCGTTTCGGCGCCACGAGAACTCTCGGTTTCTTCGAATTCTGACGGACTACCGACTGTCCCCTTTTTTCGGACTGGACACGAACATGGAAAAACACCACAAAGTTTGCACCCTACAAGTAGAGTAACAAACAGCTTGAAACATTGCCCACAAGTCGACCAGCAGAGCCATCCCAGACATTCTACAGCCTTCGGCAGCTCGAGTGCAGGGGTCTTTTCCTGCTCCATGTCAGTGAGTGCAAATGGTGCCTTGCGACTCAAGTTGCCGGTTGCTCCGTGGAAAAAGACGGCTGCTCCGTCGAACTTG